TATAAATTTAAAATGCATTAGACCATCATTATCTTTCTAATTTTAACCTGTAAATCTTCTTTCAACTGAATTATTTCATTATTCAGTTGTTTTCCACGTCGTTGATTCTCATTAATTTTGTTCTAAACTCAAGGAAAAAATATGAATTATTAACCATCAGCATCAACATAAAAAAACATAATATTATACAACTTCTCACCTGGATGTCCCTTTGTTCTTGATTCGCCCTTTCAATTTCCGAATCAGCTCGTCTTATTTCGGTGAGGTACCGAGACTTCATATAGTTTGCTTCATTAATTTTGTCTTGCGTCTCTCTAAATAATTCAAATATTCTTTATCAATAAAATTTGATTTTACAAGTATATCAATAAGGCAATTTGATTATGCATACCGAATCTGAGAATCAATATCTTGTGTAAATCTAGAAGGTCCTCTGTAGGGAAAAATTGATTGTGTTGAATAGCCACCGCCTCTGTAAATAAATAAAAAAAAAAAAAAATAATAATAATAATGGAATAAGTATGCAGTTTTTAATGATGATTCCTTTTAAACCACACACCTATGCCCAACTTTGAACCCGTCAACAGTGTAGCATGCACTGACATTATTAGGGAATCCCCTTCCATCATTGTACATGATTCTATCAGCTTCAGCACGGTTTTCAACAAGAATAACTGATTCAATATGATATTGAACTATAAGCCGCCGTTTAACATTTTCATCATCAAACTAGGCAGAATTTGAACTATCAGATTTTTTAAATAAAAAATGATCTAACGAATGTCATAAATGAAGCTAAATTAATTACATGTAACGCGCGTAAAATAGTCAAAAAACGGCCACTAGGTTCTCCAGATGAGAAATCAAAGCGGTCATCCTCGCCAACAATAATTGGAGAATTGCTATTTGGAAATTATATTAAATATGGTGAGTACGGTGTTTTGATTTTTTTTTTTAGAAAGAAAACGCTTGTGTTTTGTTTTGATTTTTTTTTTTTGCAAAAAAATTCAAAATTTTTAAGCTACATACCAATGAAATCTTTTTAAAATTCCTGATAGCAGTTGTTGATCATGATGATTACTAACAGAAAAAGCGGTCAAAGAACTTCCGATCACCGATTCCAAAGTGTTTCTCCACTCAGGTTTTGTTAGCTTAATATATCTCCCAAAAGGACCCACAGGTCTCTTATACCATCGATTCTCATGAGCAATTGCATTAAGCACATCAGGTATCGAAGGACCAAAAGCCTTGAGATTGTCGCTCTTTTGATCTCTTAGTTGCTGTATAAGATCATTATGTCGTAAAATGTCATCTTCAGTACGTCGAATATTCTGTACAATTGATCGTTTCTCATTTCTTATGTGTTCTAGTTTCTCAACTAAATTTTCAGTTTTTGTCAACAATTCGTGACGTTCTTGTGTTAGTATATTGACTTCGTCTTCCCTTTCTTTGACAGCATTCAACACATAATCTCGCCTCTGGCGATTATCATCTTGTAACTTTAGTGCTTCCTCATTTATCTTTGTTCGAAATGTGTCGACAGAATGTTTCAAATTTTTAATCTGGTCATTTATTTCCCTTTCCTCTTTCTATATGAAAATTTAATATTATTAACTGACTTTAATATTTTAATATGGGAATTACTAAAAAAAACTTACATAAATCTCGCGTAGTTGCTTTGTTTTCTCTTTTACTTGTATCTGTAATTCTTTTTTCCTGTTTTGCAAGGGTTGAGTAGTAGTAGCATGTTCATGAAGCCTCTGTTCTAATTCAGAAATAATTGAGTTGATTTCATCAAATTTTTGCTATTATTATAATTGTATATGATAGAATAAATGAAAATAAGTATCATATAATTCGTTTTACACTATTTAAAAATTATATATATATATTAACTTGTTCTTTTTCTAAATTAGCTTGAACGCTTGGTAGTCGTCTTCTAGCCTTTAACAAGTTTGTTTCTGCTTCTGTAACTTCCTGTTAAATTATTGGGCACTTATTAGTTTTAATTTTCATGCATCCATGAATATATAAACTCAAAATCAACCTGTTCTTTTTCTTCAACTTGAGCCCAAGCCATTTGATCCTTCAAATTAGAGACCATTACTTCAAGCTCACGAGCTTTTTCCATATCTTTATATTTTGCCTCGGCATCTTTAGCTGCCCTGAGTAGATCTGGTAGCACCTCTTTTTTGTGCTTAATAATGTTTTGGGTTGTTTCGATACTTTCACGTATTAACTCATAATCTTCACTCAATTGCGTCAATTGAGTTCCTTTCATGAAAAACTAATACAAAGCAATAAGTTAACAAGAATCGATATTTAAATATATAAGTGCAAATTACCTTATATTTATCTTCTGAGCTTGAAGAGTGTAAAAATTGACGTGCAGTGTCTTGTGACAGAACATTCATGGGATTGTCCACTTGAATTGCCATATGGTCTAAAATAGCGTTTAATTCATCCCGTTTTCCAGAAACTACCTTTCCGCCACTTGTTTTGATTTTATAACCATTACTACCATCTCGACTAATTCTACGTTCGATAATAATAGAGTCACCATACATATCATGACGATATGCATCTGCCCCTCGATTCCGCAATTTCAATGTTACTTGAGCAACACTTTTCAAAATTAGATCATTAGTTATCTATACTTTATTTATTTGATATAAATTTTAACAAAGAATTGGTTAACTAAATACCTTGCGCCTTCACGAATCAGAGACCTTAAATTTGATGCACGGTTCGTCACGTTGGCCTTACCTCCAAGGCAAACAGTGATCCCTGTCAAAATGGCGCTTTTACCACCTAAATAAATATACCGTTTCCCATAGAGAAAATAAATCTTTCAATCACGATAATAATATTAAAAGCAAAAATATAATATAAATATACATACTTCCATTATGACCAATGATGAAATTAATTTTTGGACCAAAATTGACTTTGAGGAATTTATGACACATAAAATCCACTAATTCTATTGATTCAATGACACTAGATTCTGCTGTCAACTTAATGATAATTAAAACATAACATAAGCAAGATCATAAGAACTCATAATAATATGCAGCTTGCAGAAATCCTCACCCCAGTTGAGCTCTTTCTCCTCAGTTTCGTTCTTTCCAGTTCTTCTGCTGATTCCCTACCAAAATCATCGTCGTCAAAATAGGTATCTTCATCAAAGGACATTTCGTCTGGAAAGCCATTAATTTCTTCTGTTGCAGATCGACGTGCTCTCTTCGAGCTAGATCTGGTCTGTCTCTGTATTTCGTGAATATCATTATATACTTTAAGATATAACTAACCAGTAAAAATAATGGTTAATTTAAATTACCGAGTCCTCTTCAGCAATCTCAGTCCCCTCGGTTTCACTATCGGAGAAAACTGCTCGCCGACCTCTCTTTCCAGTTGGCATGATCAAAACTTTTTAAAGCTTTTTTTTTTTTTGAATAAATTCTTTAAAAAGACGCTATTCTTGAGTTTGTGCAAAATCGGAGTTTAATACGCGTTTTTAACTAAAAAACAAATATCACATGTAATTGTATTTATCGGCCAATGAATTGCCTGTCTTATACGTTTAATTGTGTTTCGCAAAGATTAGGACCGGTCCGGATCCGGTCGGATTTAATCAAACTTTATTGTTTCTTCTCTGGAGCACTCCGGGTTAAACCCAAAC